GTGTTGGTATCCAATATCATAGGCACACCATCCATGGAGTCTTCCCCCTTTTCTCCATCTACTGCCACTGTGGTAGTTTTAAACATGGGGCCACTACCAAGGACACTGCAAAATGAAGTAAAGAATGAGACCTTGCGCAACAACTGGCAACACTTCCTTAAACATTAGAAGACAGACTCAATTTTACATACTGGTCTTGCTGTTTCTTCTGTTCGGCCAGTTCATGAAGCCGCCGCAACATCTTCTCCTGTTTCCTGCCATCCTTCCTGGAGCGAGAAGACACATTCCGAGCAAACTCTCTCTGCTTCAACTCCTTCAGTCTCTGTAGGATTAAACAGAGAGGAATAAGAACTTGTTATGAGATGTAGCGTCACAAGACAACTTAATATTTGAATGTGAAGGAAATTATTGTTCAAATTATTGAAAAAATTTGTTCAAAAGTTCATTGCTGTTAAGTACAGTCATACCAATGTGAATCTCTCATACCTGCTTGTGTGCATGATCGTAGGAGTTGATGTGATTGTCAAACTCCTGATGTTTCTGGTATTGCTTATCACACAGTTCACAGTAGAAATTGGCCCTCAGGTCCTCTAAAGCTTTTGCTATGGCTTTTTCCTTCTCCGCATAATCCTGCAAAAAAACAGAACAACATATCATGAAATATTAATGGTCTGAGGTTGAATGGTTATGGAAAACTTACTTGCGTAGGCAATTTTTGGTATTAGTGGTAAAGGTAAATAAACATGTAGAGTCATGTACTGCATATGTAGGATAGTTTGTCAAAAGACAAACCTAACCTCAAACACTACACAGCTTTAGAGAGAGGCACGCTTTGCTTAGGTTACCCACAGTTATCCTCAATGATTTGTTTTATGTATGTTTGCTTGTATGTGGTTGAGCTGCAGTGGAACAAGAGAAGCTTTGTATCTGTCCAAGGTTAGTGACTGTGACAAATCGATCTCAAACATTCACAGAATTTTAACTAGATAAGACTCATAGCTACTCTATGACAAAACAGGGAATTGGGGAGGACTGGAAAGAAAGATAAATTAAAATTATGTGAATAGGTTTGACAATTTTTTTTTT